GTTTACAGTAACATATCAACGAGGGTACAATAAGCCACACATACAACTTTAGTCATTGTCTATTTAAGGGTTCCGCCTGTAGGTTTCTCACTCATTGCTATATCTAAGACCCACTTGTGAGTCTTCTATTTAAACTCTCTGATTTTTAATGTTATTCTGCTCATGTAATCTTTAATTTAGATACTTAGTCCAACCTTCAGGCTACTTTACCTGTGAGGTAAATTCTACCAAAGGAGGTAGTTCCCACAACCACACCTTATTTAGATTTTATTGCGCTATAGGTGATTCCATATTAGATAAGGCCAATTCTTTCTACAACCATTAGCAACATTCTCCACATTTCTCACTATAGTAGTGCTCATGCTCTGCCGTACCGGTTTCCTTCTGGGAATTTCTTAAACCAAACATGTACCTTCACATAGACTTCTACAGAGCTTTATATACGATTATAGGCTCTTTTTTAGATTACAGAGTATTCTACCTCCAGCCAAACTCGAACCGTCGACCTTGTCTGTGGGAGAACAGAAGCTTATTCATTAAGCTATAGAACCCGAACCCCAGCACACAACACTATTACAATGATTTATTTCATTATTACAATGGTTATTTCATTGATACAATAATATATTGCTTTATTATATAATAATGTCTTATAATACTATAGCATTTTAAAAGATATTTAAACTCTGCCATTTTCTCAAAACAAGAAGACAATTGTTTCTCATCTTTTGGTCGCTATAACTTTATAATTACTTACTTTAGTCTTGGGAATAGGTCCTACTCTTACTTTTATTATAAATTTATATTAGGAATAAGTCCTATTTTTGGTATTTTTACATAATCTTTGTTGAGAATAAGTCTCTTTTTCTGTGATATTTTTCTAAAAACTATTGTATTTTTTTTGAGTTATATATTTGTGTTATTCTTTTGAGTATTATTTAAGTTAATAAATTTATCTTTTGTTTATAAATTTTGTTGGTTATAGCCTTTCTTTGTGAGTGTCGCCATAGTAATAAGTTGACAATATTCTATTTTATCTATAAATTATTTTTTCTATAAACCATATAAATACATTTCTTAACTACTTGTACACTTAGTCAAGTATTGTAGCTTGTTAACCAAAGGTTTAACTTGTTACATTACAATATACTTAGACTTTAGATATTTCTGGTTTTTTTCTTTTGATTTCTAATTTCATAGTATAGACTTTTTTTTAGTGTAATTCTGGCAGCCAGGTTAGTAAACTACTCTTGTTTTAAAGTTATTATATCTGATTTTTTGGTTTTTAGTTTTTGAATTTCTGACTTCTGCAATATTGTTAAAAATTTTTACTACTTTTTTGCTCAGAACTTGCCAAATACTGTAGATTTCAATTATTTTAGTTTTTTGATTTTGTCCATATGATATTACATAACTTTGTCTGAAAGCTCATATTTAAGATAGTGATACCAAGGCTACAAGTGATATATCCAACTAATCATCAAATAAATATTACTAAAACAAATTATATTTTTCAAAATCATCACCAATAAGATTTGAACTCTAGATCTGCTATTTGGAAATAACAACTTATTAACTATACTATGTTACTACATCTCTAATTCAGATAATGTTAAAACTGCAACTAATGATATAACAACAAAACAAAAAAATATTTTCTAAGTTGTAATTTTTTTTTATTAGATTGTAATTTTTTTTATTAAATAAAAAAATTGCTATATATTATTACTATTATATTTCAACATTATTATATTGCCATTATTACATTATTACTATTATACAGCATGCTATAAATAATAAATTATTTTAAAATTATAAATTTTAGATTGGTTGGAAAAATAGTATTGTAAACTGTATAAAAAAAATTTTGTAGGCCTCATCTTTGAAGATTAAAAAAAAAAAAAATTTTTGTGTGATGATCGGGTGGCTCAGGTAAATATTTTCTAATTTGGGACGTTCCTCTGGAGATTTGACTATATTAAATTTAGTCTGGCCCGGCCCGGCCCGACCCACAATTATAAAATTTAATTGCTAAGCCCGGGCGAGCCTATGGGACCCAACGCAGGCCTATACCATATAATAACCATATTATTGCACGAGTGTCCAAATAAATGAAAAAATGGTAGTTTATAAGACCCGCGCAATAAAAATTGGTACGTACGTACATACTGTACTTACGTACTGTACGTATAACAGTTGTACGTACGTACCAATTTTTATTGAATCTATTATGCTGAAATCAATAACTTAACCGAATCGGCCGAAATATCATTCGGCTAAATTTTTTACAGGTGTCCCAGGAATTATGTAAGCCCAGCCCGCAAAACGGGCCGGGCCGGGCCGGACTTTGGGATCCAATGCAGGCCTTTACCAACAACCCTAATAAAACTTCATTTTTTTTATTTATTCTTTGTAATTTTATCTTTTTTATAAAAGTATTTTAATCTGTATAAATAATCTAAAATTCAATTGATTTAGACAGCCAATCATATGAAAGTTTTTCTGTGACTCACCATTTCTTCGACCTTACAAAAAGTGCAGTTTAAAAATTCAAAACCCACGACATTCGATGGTAATGGGCTTAAAGGTCCTGTTGCTCAACAACAAGCAACATCCCAATCATTAGAACACGAGATACACAACATTACGGGGAAGAGTCTGATGACTGGTAGGAAGTCTATCGAACTTACGAGAACGAAACCACTGATTCATTGACTGATATGTTCTTGGTAACAGTCGAAAAAGCTCTAAACAGCATGCACTAACTAGATGATCTTCAGTATGCTGGTGAAATAACCCAAGACACAGCATCTCAGTGTTTTCAGCGCTGGTGGTGGTAATAAACTTTGTGCACTTGCGCAGAGTAATGTAAATGCTAACTAATGCGAGTAGTGTGGCTGTGGCTGAGTCTCAACATCAATACGTATGTTAAGCAATATCAAAAGATTCATGTTATACAAGCAAGTATCACAGCTGGGTTAATGATTAATAAATACGAAGAAGAAAAACTAGCAGATTATCAATATCAGTTAGAGGTAGGTATTTTTAATCAATTGGAATATCAGAGCGAACAAGAAAACCACTGTGGAATGAGATGACAAGATCAGGGTTTTTACTTTCATAATACTATAATAAATTTTAATGCTTTAACGAATTTAGAGAATTGCTTTTTATTGTACTGTATATACGTAAATTATTTACATTACGCAATCAAGGAGACCATATAAAAATAAATATGGTTTGATATTTCCATACAGCTGTAAAGTTGTGTTGCGAAAATTACATTTTAATAAATTTGATCACATAAAATAATCGTTAATTAAACTTTGTCGTGTTGTAACTAAAGACGCAAATTGGCTTATCGGCTCCGTTGATAAATCAGGTTTATTATAATTGATATACAAACGCATCTCTAATTGTAGTAGCTAATAGGGATGGTAAAATTCTTAGTTTTGGAATATTGAAGCCTAAGATTGAAACCGGAGGATATACAGTACTATACCGAGGGTCTTGTATAAGAGTTATATATTATGAAACCAATTTGTTTATATGTCGTTTATAAAATCCTGTTTAGTATATCCGGGCCTTTTACAAAATATACAAGTAATAGATAGACCTTGTAACATACATATCAAAGGGGTATTGTCAACTTTATGTGGCGAAATGTGGTAATAATTATTGTTATCTACCTACATAAAAAAAATAAAATTTGTATATTTAATAAAATGGAAAAGCCAAAAATAATAATAATCAGGTAAATATTTGTACTTACGCATGATTTTTTTTTCTTACCATTTAGCACTGCATGCAGATCCCCCGAAAATAATATCATACTACATAAAAGTACCCCCTGGATTCGTGAATTGATACTCCTAATGAAGTTCTTGAATAAAACCCCGAATACTGTATGTAGTGCTAAACGGTATTTATTGCATATTTAACCAGCGGGCGCATTCTAAGAAAAACAATATGGCAATTATATTGAAACAACTATGCGATATTTAATACGATGGTACCGTCGTAATTATCAGCATGCTTCTATTTAAAGATTTATGGCATGATCTATAGATCAATGTGCCAACCGTGAATTGAGCATGATTTATTGATTTGATAGATACAGGAAGGGACCAAATTAACACAACAAAATATATTTATTTTCATAATATTGTTAATATGCTTATCAATTATATAGAAAAATTTGAATGCATAAGTGACAATTATGACATTTTTTTATATCATAAATACATAATATTTGTTGCATTATTTCTGTTCCCTTCTCTGTACATAATTTGTTAAATGGATGTATCATAGTATTATTTTGAATGATTTATATTAAATGTAGCAGTGTGAAGTTATTGTAAATATTGTCCGTCACATTCTCAAAGCTTGTACGGTATTACCAAATCCTATCGCTACCCAGTCTGGGTATCTAGAACTCCAACTTAATTGACTGATTTCGCTATCAGCTTTATAAGACAAGATAGGATCGTTATTATATGGTTTTCCACCAACGCCTCCCATCTGCACTCCATTAATGTTCCAGACAAGAACTTGAGAATCATCACCTAAACGACATTAAACGGTACACATTATTAACCTCAAATTAATTAAAAAGTATCATTGATTGTATAATTTTTATAAGATAAACTTACCGCCACTACATAGAATACCATTGTGATTTGGCGCCCAGCTAACACAATTGACGGTCGCTGAGTGACCTCTTAATTCTGCAACGGGAACACCAGGAACTCTTACATCTAATATTTGAACATCTAGAGAATCCATATGGAAAGTTGCCAAGTAATTGGGTTCCATTTTGTTAAAACATAATCGAAGTAAAGGAGAAGGCAATACTGTATTAGCAGCATTCACGGATGGAGGATGTGGGTTAACAGTTTCATAAATAATCGTAGAATGTTCTAAATTTCTGCGGTTTAATAATAAATATAGGGTAAGAAACAATTATCAACTATTGTTTTTAAAAAAATAGAATCTAACCTCAAATCGAACATCCTCACACTACCATCGGCACCGACACTAGCAAACACATCTACAGTGCCTGAAGCAAATGCGACATCATAAACTTCTTTATCATGAGCAATTAATTGTGTTTTCGCTTGTTTTGTTTCTACATTCCACACGGTACAAGTAGTATCGATACTTGATGTTACAGCCAATGTTGGGTCGATTTCATTCCAGTCGAAAGATGTCAATGGAGCATTAAAATCAGCTTTAGTCTATCATAATAATTAGAATTTTGTATAAAATTTTAATAAAATAATATTCTTAAAATAAGTGAAATGAAATCAAAAAATTGTGTCTTACATTAGTCAGCATACTTTTGTGAGTTAATCGTTGCTGCCTAACTCCTGTGAAATTATTTGCACCAATTGTATTGCTTGAGGTATTAAAATCATCTTCAACTTCCCACAATCTTAAATAATCACCGGCTGTTGCTAATAAATCGGGCGTTTTCAACCCACCCTAATAATGTAAAATATAATGTAAAATATGATAATTAAATCAAGAGGAAAAAATTTTTTATGAAATTTAAATTAGTAAAATATCTTACAACAAACCTTGTATGGTTCCCATAGTACTTTAGTAATAGGATAGCGGTGATCAGTTTCAGCGATTTTGACAAGGTCGACATTAGGATTACGATAATAAGAATCGTCATAGGCGAATTCGGATAGTGTAATAATTTGAAGCTTTTATCAACGGAACAAATATCGAATTATTATCTCATCATTGATTAATTAAATCTGACAATTATAAGTGAATTAAATTTGATAATTCATCTAATTAATTTTGCAATTCATGTAATTAATTAAGATCGTAAAGTGCTAATACAAAGAACAAATTTTCATCCTTAATTTTGCTTAATGAATCCTTGTAAATAACTGTAAATTAATAATGACTTGAAGCTGTTCTATAAATCAATTTTCTCAAACGTGTGTAATGAATGACAAAATTTGTTGAGAGAAAAATTATTGTAATAGAAATAAATACCTTGTTTGCGTTTTCTTCGATAAAACTTCCTAAAGCAAGTCTGAACGATTTCTCACCAGGTCGTTTTGACCAATCTAAGCCATATACAGGCCAAGGTGCTTTATATTCGTATCTTTCTTTTCTGAGTACACCCTTTAACTCTGAACGTGATCCAGGTACTTTAGGGCCATTCGTCTCTGGCATAAAAGGTGTAAGCGGCGGTGAAGTTGGTGATTGAGTAAGCGGTACATGGGAATGTAGTTGAGGGTTAAGTTGATATTGTGGTAAAGGCGTAGCATCCGTTGACGATGTTGGTGGGTGATATACGTTACGAGTATTTGGAAAAGTTCCGGGAAGGTTTTGAGGCGGCTGAAGTTGTTGTTGTGGTGCACGAGATGTTGTTGCAGGAGTTGGCAATTCAGTATAATATGGAGAGGTTTGTTGATAATTTCTATGCACTGTAGGATGCGTCATGGTTGATATTCCTCCTAGAGAGTAATATCACGAACAAATCGCGTTTATAAATTAAAAGTATTTATGATTTCAACGGTAGTGTTTTTCTTTTTTTTTTTTTTTTTGTGTGTAAAAAAGGAGTTTTTTTTTTTTTGTACCAAACGGCATCATATGCTTAGTATGTATAATTGACTTTGTGATATAGATTGTGTGCAGCACAAGAGATGTACATCTGTCAAAAAAATTTCCAATTATCATCTATGTCACAACATTAAGTCTGACGATACAGTTAACCGATTCTATATCAAACACTAAACTTTATTTGAGCATTTAGACAAAACGTTTACACACCAAAGGGATTTGCGTATCATTGCAAATTTCTACGTAAAGCATGTGTATAGACCTAACTTTTTGATGTACCGGTATACATAAACTTTACGTGGCACCACCAAATAGTCGGACATGATCAGATGTATGGTATACAATTTATCATTTACGCATGTTGTGTAATTATACGTATGCGATAGATTACAAGACATTCTTGGTTCATGCATTTAAAAAGAAATCGAACGCCCTAAATTTTATTGTTTAAAGAAATTCTTTTAATAAAATGACAAATTTAACATCGCTTAAAACTTCACTTTATAATTGGCTTAATTCTTCAAGTGGGCCTCTTCTCGACCTTCGTCCCCTACATATTCACTTTGGCTGTAGAATTATCCCATCCACTTGTATTCCCTTTTCCGATTTAAAGAAACATCAATTTGAACTTCCACCAAAATCCTTACCTCTTGCTGTATTGGAACCACATAATAACAAGGGAATAGCACAAAAATTACTTAAGGACCAAGGATGGAATGTTCTTTGGGTGTTTACCGAAAGCGAAAGATTATGGAAAGTCGGAAGAGAACTTGGAATTATCGAAGAGATTAACATAAATACGAATGATAATAACATGGATTCGTCGGATCTTTACTCTAAAAGACAACGATGGACACTATTTCAACCTTGCCCTTTTTTAAAAAATAACATGAATTTCATAGAAGAATCACTCAAAAACATGCATAAACCAAATACGACATTCAATTGCTTGGATATCGCTTGTGGAAGCGGACGAGATGCTTCCTGGCTTTGTCTACGCACAACTGTTGACTGGCATGTCACTGCCATCGATGCTATGACTAGTGCTCTCGACCGAACAAGGCAATTAGCACAGGGTGTTGGAGTCTTGTCCAAGATTCAAACCGTACCTGTAAAGATCATGCCGGATGGATCGGTTAAGCAACCTCCGATAAGAGCTGGAGATATCAAAAATGGTAAGACAAATTTATATGATAATGTTGATTTTCTTTGCCAAACCTATGACCTTGTCCTCTGTGTCCGCTTTTTGCGTCGAAAATTTTTCGATACCATGATGAAAATGGTAAAGCCTGGAGGATTTCTTTTGATCAGCACATTTGTAAATGATGGAGTGCACTCGTACAAGTATCCTAAATGTGAAACACATCGATTGAGACTTGGTGAGCTTGACGCATTTTTTCAAGATCAATTTGAAGTATTGCAAAATGAAATCGAGCTTATAGAAGATGGAAGACCGGTGAATTCGTTCTTAGCCAGAAAGCGAACAGGTTCACCGGAAAAACAGCATGTAAACAACAAATAAACAGTAAGTGCGTACGTACTGTACGTACGTACGTACATAAATATAGTGACGATTCTGATTCATTATCATTATATATAAATTTATATTACAGTTTATTATTGAAGCCTTCCATTTTCCTCCAAATTTGATTACATGAATGACGATACTAGCAAAACATGAATGCATGGTTTTTTCCGTGCAGTACATTGGACCCAAATAGTTGTTAATGTTACCCTATTTGTTTCTGTATTCTTTAAAAGAAGATTTAACAATGAATTTGTCAACGGTTGAACTACTTTTTTAAGCTTTTGCGTTAGAATAAGAACACGAACACGATGCAATACAATGGATTTACGCTATAATGACATACTATGAACGAGAACAAATGACATTTTTTTAAAATGTCAAAATTTTTGACATGGTGATGATACACATAGTGATAACGCATTTCATGTTTGCTGTAGCACACGAAAGTTCGGGTATCCGATAATACTGCGGATTACATAATTCCGTTTATCTGATACGTATGGTTTTGCATAATTACGATTAATCATATCCATAGCAGATAGTATTGGTATCACACGTTCTCGCATTTTCACTTGCATTTTCACATTTCTGCATTTGACATGCATAACCACGTGACCATCACGTCATTTTCTTTTACCATTTTCGGATTTTATACGGGACGAACATAGTCATACTGCATATTATAATCTAATATTATAATCTATGAATCGCCTATTGGTATATCTGTCAAAATCGATCCCCGCGTCAATCACATATCATATACATGAGCTAATTAAATGAATTATTACTTAGTTCAGGGTGAAAATATAAGGAGTTGTATTATCTAGTGTATTTGTAACACAAACCTTATGAAAAACTTATTTCAATAAAAGTAATAAAAGTTTTATTATTATAATGGATGGGTCTTCTCTTCGAAGGATATCGTCAATTAACATGACTGTGACGAACAGTAGTGTGTTCATTTGTATCGTATTTTACCGTATTTATGCGAAATAACGTCCCGAGACAATTTCTAGAGAGCTAAGAATTAATTTAGACGATTTTTAAAAAATGAATTTATTGTTTGCATTTGTCAAAATTAATTCTGGGCTCTCTGAAAATTGTGTCCCGAAATAACGCCCCGGGATTTTAGGTTTTTTTGCGTTTCTTGCCTATAACGACATTTTCTTCGTATATGCGTTTCGTGGGTTCGATGTTTCGCGGATGTCTTTTTTTTTATTTTTTATTTTATTTTTACAGGCGCTTTCTTTAATGGTTTTCTCCAATGTTTTATTTAATGTTTCGTGAATGTTTTCTTGACGTCAGCGGGTGTTTTTTTTTTTTTTTGACATTTCATAGGTGTTATTTTATAGGTATTCTTTTTGATTCTTTATAGGCATTCCTGATAGTATTTCTTTTTTTTGATATTTCATATGTTTCCCATAGTATTCGGATGTGTTTTTCTTTTGTTTTATTTTTTTTTTCAAAAATGGTTTGACCCACTTTTTTCAATATAAATAACAAAGTATTAAAAAAATTTTCTTTTTTAAAAAAAAAATCATTTAATAGTATTAAAATTTTTAATGTTAGATTTGTAAAGAACACCATCTGTTAATTGACGGTCTACTATGCATGTAATTTATCTCCTCTTTAGACGACCTCCTCTTCAGGAACTCTTGTTTGTTTCCGTAGATCCTTTACTAAATTGCTGGTGTAATAAAAATCGGATGTTGTGAGATTGAAAAAAAACATGTAATATTTAGTCGCGATTTACTTACTATGATCATGGGTTTATTATGCAGCATGTAACCGTGCAATTCGTTTAAGGCTTGTGTTGCTATTTCTAGACTAGGAAGCTTTATGAATGCCTGCCCTCTCATTCGTCCTTTCAATAATTGAATTCCCAACTGACTACAAATGTTCATATGTATATTAAAAAACGATTATTTAAAAGAATACAAAAGACAACATTCATTTGCAATACCTTTCCATTTCTGAACGTGATTGAAAATATCTACCAAAAAGATATTCCAACTCTTTATCTTCAATTTTTCTCTGGGATAAATTTTTTATATATAGAGTATTTGTGGGATCTCCGGGCGAATAGTTTTTCATGGCGGGTATTTTTTGTAATTCTGAAAAGAAATAATTCATAAATTCGAAAATCAATTTAAGGTATAACGATTAAAAAATCTACCTTCGATTGGCATTTTGTTGGCATTAATATCTTCAATTGAGATACAATTATGTGGCTCCGGTTGATTAGTTTGATTGGTTTCTGAGTTAAATGTTGAATCTGCTGTCGATTGATTGGTTTCTAAGTTAAATGTTGAATCTGCTGCCGATTGATTAGTTTCTAAGTTAAATGCTGAATCTGCTACCGATTGATTAGTTTCTAAGTTAAATGCTGAATCTGCTGCCGATAACGGATTTACATATGGATTATCGGTAGTGGCAATCGGTAATACTAATGGGATTGCACTAAACGCATT